AGGGCATCGCCATAATCGTAACATGACGCTAGAATTTCCGCCTCCCCTCCACATCCTCCCTTCCTCTCTCCCGCAGTATCTCAGCTCTGCTCTGCGACCTGTGAGAGGGACCGGAAGTAGCTCTTAATTGCTTTGTAGCGTAGCAGTGCTATCACAAACATCTTGTTATGAAACATTGATAGCTCAAGCACTGCCAGCTACCCGATTGTTTCAGCGGCTTGTTTATTCCATTAGCTGCCTTATCACACACTTCAGTTTACGGACGGACATACATACAACCGTTGTAGTTATCGCTTTTATAACTAGAGGATATTTTTGTACATGATCGCGCTGAATTTCAGAAGGCTCTTCAACGTGAGCCGCTGCCTACTCTGGTTTAAATTATGGGTGATATAACAATGTCAAAACAAGCAACATTTCCTAGGGATTGCAGAGCTTCTCTCTGGTTTGTTTTTGTTTCCACATCCACATGCCTCTCATGACTTACTATTGCATTCATTCCCAACTAGCATAAAATGTATTCCTATCTAGTATTGGTCGACCATACATTACTTCAAGTAGCGGAAGTTAGAAGGACGTGTAAATGTGTTGAGTCATTAACTATTGAGCTGAAGATTTGGAGCCACGTCAGTAGAACACAACTCCATCTCTGGATTAGTTGTTGGCGATGAAACCAAGCCATACTGTTATGAGCGTTAGAATTTTCCATTACACAATAGGTGGTGTTCAAAAGCTTACAAAAGGAAATAAGATACAAAAAATAATAAAAAACCCACTTTGGGTTCGATCCGCATCCAGTTCCTGAAAAAAAGTTTTCAGAAGTACAAACAGAACTCGACGTATAAGTTTCTTAGCCTGCTTCGCCTGTAACTCGAAGATGCGAGCGGAATAATAAGCATGCGAAAGACAGCTTATCTTTTGATAACCTTTTTATGTCAATTGCAACATTTCTACAAAACCACATAACACTATATTAAAGTCATTTGCAAATTAGTGAAAAAATGGTCATCAATCGAGCAAAAGCATTTACCCGGTGCCACCGTTGAGTCCGAGCAGTATCCGCAAGTCTTTCTGCAGTATCGCTTAAAATATACAGTGCAATTTATTCCATTTTTTAGTTTCGAGCAGCATCAATGATTGAATGTACGATAATTATTTGTAAAGAAGGGCTTCACCTACCCGTGCGAATGAGTCCAGGTTTTTACTCTGGCAAATAACTCCGCCACTCAAATTGCAGCCAGGTGCTTCATCGACGCAATTACCGGAAATTTGGAATAATCACCGACATGAATAGCGAATTCTTGAACAGAAAGAACCTATGTGCCCTTACGAAACCGTTTTCATGAGCCACGGCGTTGGCACGCTGACAGCATACTGATGAGCTGCCATTATGGTGACATCATCAGAGTATGTCAACAACGAAAATTCTTCAACGCGCAGAAGAAATGTATTTTTTCCGAAATGAAATCTATCAGTTTTATAGGATTTTCTGAGAGCGATTCGATAAGAACGATGAAAACCGGTTTTTGGGACCTGTTGTGGAATAGTTTGTAAAAGATTTGCTTCAAGGGGAATTACTCCTTTCCGCTTGACATGAGAAGGCGTAACCGAAGGTGTCGCAGATGGCCCTTATTCGACACGGGCTCACCCGATCGGTACCCACGTAAAGTTGAGGTTTCTAATCGACCTTAGGCAACTGAACATGTCCGCTCGTTTACTGCGACGTCATGGCAATGTATACAATTTCCCCGATAATGCGACTGCCGCGTTGAGGATTGTTGACGTTACAATGTTGCAATGCCCTTTGATTAATGTTTCACAAAGCTTTTCTGCAACCGTAGACTGCCTCACTTTCTGTCAATTCATGGGTGGTCCATTGCAACTAGCACCCAACACGAGATGAACATGTTTTTAAATCCAGAAATATTACTAACAATATGACCAGAACAGTGAGCAGGGCCTCCGTTAACACACACTGTAAATTGTTCGATATAGCTCGAACCACTGCGGAATAAATGGATAACCAACACCAGCACCAAAAGGCGGTGAGTATTACAGACGATGCGGAGATTTCGACAGAAGATCATTCATCGAAGTAACCTTCCTCCTACTGTTACATTTCGAGAGAAGGGAGTGAGGCAACTCAAACATGTATGGTCAATAGCGCTTTGCGGAGCATGTTGACAAGCTGCGTTTTTGAACCGCTTTGAGCGTCCCACTGTCTTCCCGACAGGGTAGATGATTGTCTGAGGGAAAATATGTTCCGTTTTATGAATTCAAACTCTTGCAACAATTGCAACAGGAAAGGAAAATCCATAAGGAAAATTTGTGGTTCTCTTGGTGACCGCTCTGGAAACAGCACTCGTATGCAATCCTGAAATGGAACCACTTGTTACCTTCGGGCAAAAGGCGAAGGCAAAGCGTGAAAGACGCAAGGGTATTACCAAAGCTTTGAAGAATGTGCATGGCGAGAGTTGTTTGCAGGCGGCCACAACACCTTATCTGTGCCCTCTCAAACGACCCTTTATACGTTCGCCTTCCTTTCTTCGTTGTTCGCTTCGTCGTGCTACACCCTACCTCAAAGAATGTATAGGCCCTCAGCTTCAGTGCTAGCTAAGGTCTCTCCTGCTTTTTCTCCTTTCAGTTCCCTCTGCACCTTCACCCTCATTTATCGCACGCTCCTTCAAACAAAATTCTGGAGCTGATCTATGAACGGCCTGCGAAGATCTACGTCACTGTACTCACTGCTTTCAACATAACGAGCCTAGCACTCGGAGATACAGGAGTGTATATCCTGGCACACAGACGCGTTCTCAAAAGCGAGAATCTTGGGAGCGTTTCTGACTCTAAACGTCCTCAAACTAAACAAAATGTGTAGCTGTGACCCTCCCAAATTCCACAGGTTTTGATTTACATGAGGTCGAGGGAGGAGGGGGGTCGGTGCTCATTTTAGGCGCTGCTCCTGATTATTTTGTGTTTGTAAGCCGTGTCGTGTAAGACCGTCATAAGGCAAAGCATAGTACCTTTCTTGCCTATGAAAGACCACAGCGTACACTTAAGCACTTATATCGATTTCAGTCGAATGCGGATGCAGCAGAAACGCAGTTGATTTCTGGAGCATTCTCAAGCATGAGCCTAATACCCAGCCAAGAGTTTCGCTTTCTGCTAAGAGAGTGGTTGACGTAGAGGAGGTCAGGCTTTCCATCTCAAAGTTGCTACTATTTGTTATGTTGAGCTACTATACCTTAACACGTTGACGACATCAAGTATTTTGGCATTTTCCGCAGCGTGGGACAGGAGAGATTTTGCGTTGCGCCGTCCTCACCTTCCTTACGCTTATTCTGTTTGATGCCCAAAAATTTGAATCTCACACAATCATCCCGGCAAGGATGGAAGTTTATACAGGTTACTTATACAAATACCAGTAGAAGTTTGTTTAGAAGAAGCCATAATGATCACGAAGAAGCAAAAAACTTCGTTTCACTACGAATGAAGTAAAAAGCATTTACCTTAGTTTTTCCATCAAATACAAATATCTTGAAACTCACAGAGTTTTGTATTAACTGCTTCTACAATCTTTCATGAATGTTTACGACAGTGAAAGGAATACTAGGAAAGAATTGAAATGAAAGTTTTGTGCGTTCAGAAAATCTTTGCTAAATCAAGGGATATTTGACCACTCTGGCTGCCATGTGGTTTATAGTTATGCTAATGTATTATCTATAGAATGAATACAAAAACTCGAGAAGAAGAGCAAGCACCATAAAAATGAGTGACATGGTTCTGACGCGCATGCGCGTCAGAATGTCGCCAACGTGTAGCTTAGCTTCGATATGGTCACTCTATTGCGAACAGAGCGAGAAGGCGCAGAATTTAACTTGCTCGTTGCGGTAACAGCCACAAGAGGCCTCCCATGTGAGAAGACGTGGCAAAACCTACGTTTTGTGGTTTACTGTACTATGATATGGATATATGGCCACTATGATATGGAACTGAAGACTTTTCAAGGGAGACACACTTTTACCGCAAACTTGTCATTACTGCTTTACAATAAAAATTTAGAAAAGTAACACACAGTCCTCTTGCTCCACCGCTATCTCCAAGATTTCCGGGAAACTCATGGGGAAAGTGAACCTATAGGGAGTATTCAGTGTGTTGCTTTTGACTTTTTTTTGCTCTTGAGTATTTGTTAAGAACACCATTCTTCAATGCTCCCAGATCTACAAATTTCCCAAGGATATTTGTTCTACCCCTGTCAAGAAAGGCAATTTTCAGTTTCATGACTCGTTTTCTTTTGGCTGAATGCTTTCCAGCACTATTGCAGCCTTCGCCGCTGCGTCCGCTAAGACTAGATTATGAGTTATATTTTCTATTGAAATCGGGTGGAGGTCGACTGCAGTGAGGTGGAAGCCGGCCCTCGAACGACGGATGGTGCGTCGATGTCGCTCATATGAGATACACGAGGTCTTCCAGTTTTCTGAGCAGTTCATACAAGATTTCTGACTCGACCAAGACTGAAGTGTGGAGGCGATCGTTTGATGTGAGACTTTCGATGGTGGCGAAATTCCTGCGTGACTCCTTTGCTCGCAAGAATCGTTCAGAAACAATCGGCGAGCACTACCCTTCGTAAAGTTATAAGTGAACTAGCAGCAATTATAAGCAGAAAGGAAATAGCAAATGATGAGAATGTGGTAATAATGCTTCAGTATCAGGAACATTGCACTGATCCAAAAAATGTTCCATTCATCACGTGAAATTTCTAGCTTTGCCTAGTGTATTTATTTTATAGCCTATATTGTCGCACCCTGCTGTAAAATCCAATATGCTTTGATGCAAATTAGTGAATGAGGCTCTTAAGCCTTACCGTGACCGTTGTGGGACCGAGTTTCAGATAAGTGCACAGGTTTGTTACTTTAGCCGAGACAAACCTGAATCACAAAAACCGCAGGTTTTCGGGCAATCCTCTTCAAGAATACTCTTCCAGGCATTATTTTCGCACATTATCTTCGTAACTGACGAGCATGGTATCCTTGGCTCTAAAAGTTCTTGTGTTAAGGTTCAGTATGCCTGGAAATGGTTGATAGCACGAAAAAACCAGCACAAAAACGTAGTATTTCATAGGTCAGCTGGGACAGATGCAACTCACGCAGCTTGTCATTGCATGAAAAGGCGGGTGTGAGACAGCAGTAGCCACACGTCCTTGGGACAAAGATCAACCGCCGCTTGAACCAGCTGAGGATCCTAGAAAAAGGAAGCTGGCGTTTCTTCGCATCTGTATATTAGTTATACAAGCCGGAGGCACCGTTGAAGAACTTTCAATGAAAACGTCAGCCATTCGACAGGTTCAGCGATAGCAGTTTCGAACGGTCGTCACAACAAGGTCTCGGCACACACTCAAGCACTTTGAATTTATATTATAGTTAAAGTAGAACGTATAGATTATTTGTGGAAGGTCCAAAATTATTAAGGGTAATCATTGAATGTGAAACGCTTTCATAGGGTGAGGCAAGATTACTGGTGCACCAATTTTCCTTCGCTTCCGGGACTACTTTCAATAATCAGTTCTGACCATGAAGATTATTAGTAGAAAAGGTGACAATCCAAATCCTGACAACGGCCTTCGAAATGATTGCCTTCAACACTCACACAGCTTTTCAGACCAAGCGCATCGCATACGACGCGTAGGTTTTTGCTAGCATTTGTCGCCTCAGGATTTTAAAAGCGCCGTCATGGGAGGGTCCAAGCTTGGGTATCCGATAGATAACATTTTTCTCGCCAGTGCAGCCCATGAGTTGAAACCAGGTCGGTCTGATCCGGAGACGGTATGATCCCAGCCGAAAAGAAGGCATTGCTCTCATTGAAAGGGTTCAAACAACTTCACTAGGAAAGCGCTCATTCGTCGTGGCGGGTTTCTCTATTCCAATCCCTAAAGCCGCTATAAGGAACAAGTTTTTTGATTTGCCTTCCCTTCAGTCTAGGCGCAATCTTTCGATTTATGCATGTTACATAAACTATTAAACCACAAATGTGGTATTGCTATCTCCTCTTTCTACACTCTGATACCGTCAAAAACTAGGGGTGGTCAACTCAAAATCTCCTTCTCTAGGCCGAAGACCACTATAAGGCGGAATTTCTTTACAGTTAGAGCCGGTCTTGCATTTTTGCGGGCCAGCAAAGCTTCCTCCTTTTACGGCTCTTTTTGCATCCTTCAAGCGCTCTATAGCAACTCATTTTCTTCAAGCATAGTTGTCACTGTCATTCATTCTATTCTCATTCATTATCAGTTATGTTCGCTATATTTTTAACTTTGTCCCATACAACGTACTAAATAAAGATAAAGATAAAGATATTGGTTCGAAATTGATGAAGTTAGAATCTGCTTGGCGCACTGTTCCTAGGTTACCTTCGACATGCGTTTTGAAGTGAATTCTACGCTGAACTCATCTGGTAACCCTCCAAAGTGAACGCTCACACTTTGAAACAAATACCGAGTTGGAACGCTTTTTGAACAATGTTTGAAAATTTGAGAAGTAGACGAAAACGTGCTTGCACTGTTGGAGTTGTAAATCAGAAAGCTAGGTTTCCATCCGCTATGTAATCAGCGTGTGATAGTAACACTTTTAACACATTGACGACATTGAGACGCGGTAACGCGTCTCACTTTGCGCACCTCGTTGGACATTGAGACGCGGTTACGCGTCTCACCCTTGTCATCCCTTTTTCTAGCGTATGCGGGGATTCTTCCCAATTTGCTTGTCTCTATTCTATGGATTACAACATAACATAACTGTAAACGACATGGGTCACGGTATGATCAAATATGCTCCAGTTTAGCAGAAGTTTTTTAAGCACAGCGGAATTGGCAGCTCGGTTCATTCCTCGTTTTCTTCCTATTCTCATGAACATGTCAGTGAGAAAAGGTAGTGAAAGTAAACACAAAGTTGAAGGGATAGAATGATATAGAGGGTGTCCCAAAATTACGGGCGCCGAAATTTAAAAATCTGAACTGGCATATTTCTTGAATTAGATAATTTAGCGGTGAATAGGATTGCTGTCAGTCTCAAAATGAAAATGAAATATGCCTATTTACATAAGTGAGGAGCTAAGGCTTATCATTTATTTACATTCACCATTATTTAGAACCCCGAAAGGATTAGCGGTTTAATGAGTTTGGGCTTTCTTGATATAGAAATGAAACTTATCATTTGCTGAAGACTTGATTGAGTTTATGCAATCGACTGCTATTAAGTAAGCTGGTCATACAATGATACAATGTGCACGTACCACTACAAATAGAATTTGTAAGTAGGGACGCTCTAGTGTCAGCGCAAGCTGACGACTTCTGACGCGCCTTATCAGCCTTTATCATCGTTAGTTGTAACCACTTTCCATCACCTACCAATAATGTCCCCGTCCCATTGCGAGCCACGTAACGGAATCGACGACTTTTGCGTTCTGACGCGCCTTATCAGCCCTTATCAGTTGTATCCACTTTCAATCACCCACCAACAATGTCCCCGTCCCACCCCACATAACACTTGTAAGTATGGACGCTCTGTGTCAACGCGAGCTGCGTAACGGAATCGACGACTTTTGCGTTCTGACGCCCTTATCAGCCCTTATCAGTTGCTATCGCTTTCATTCATGTACCACCAATGTCCCGGGACCACCCCACATAACACTTGTAAGTATAGACGCTCTAGTACCAATATGAACGACAAAACGAAATTGGCGATGCTCGCTTTCTAGCCCCTCTTATCAGCTATTATCAGTCGTTATCAGTTCCTATCACATACCACTTGTGTCCCCATCCCACCCCCTATAACATATGTAAGAACCACTGCGCTATCATTACTGTGACTCGAGCTATGAATTTCCGGTCAAACACACACACACACAAACAGACACACTTAGCCGATTATATAGTAGGATGACAGTCCAATGTGTGATATGGCGGTAATGTAATGGGCAGAAAGTAGATTGAGGTAACACTCAATAACAAGGAATAGTTTACTAACCATAAGCTGTGATTGTAAGTCTTGATTCGTGAGGAATCTAGAAATGTGTTCTTGGATATTTGTGGGTATCAACTTCTTGATTTTTTGATTTTCAAGATTCGAATGCAATCAGAACCTGCTTACTGATTGAAAGGGGTGCAGCTGTTTGTTGATCGAGACTCAATGAAATCACGTACTATCGGATCTCCGCTGCACTTCGGATCTCGCTCTGCCTCATTTCCTGCGACCGCTGGGTTTTGGTATAAGAGGGCGCAATTGGTAGACGACAATTTATCCTCACAGTTTACTGCAGATTCGGCGAAAAGAAACTGAAAAGGTTGAGGTTCGAGTCACAACCACAGAAATCGCCCGCAGATGTCTTCACTTCACAAAGCAATAGTAAAACATAGAACCTCTCATTAAAAAATCGGTCTTTACGTGGGAAACCACCCCAATCAAAGAAATAATCATAAAACAGAGGGGTGAATATCGACCTAATGCATGCGGTCCGGTCAACCTACCTTATTATTCGTGTATTTTTTCGAGCCCGATTTGGAGGCGATATGCTTTTACCACGAAATAATGATGGAAAGGTGGTGAAGACAAATGGTAATGTGAAGCTCATTCTGATTCATTCTGGCAAATTTTGTCTATGAGCATTATTATTATGCCTGAGATATTCTACAACGCGCATTCTCAAAAAGTTCGTTCAGTCGTTGATAGAGAAACTCAAAAAATTGAAAAATTCTAGAGCGCTAGCAATGATTTCCGTAATTTTCTAATTGTTAAATGCGCTCTTTGACAAAATGAAGCGACCTACCTTAGAGGTAGCGCCATCATATGTTGTACAGTTCTGATCCACAGCTGCCCATACAGTTCCTACGAGCAGCACTGAAGACAGTAGAGCGAAAAGCATTGTTTCTCTAAAAAAATTGCAATTAATTATGTAGATAAGTGAAAGCAGGGAATTTGGCAGTGTGCTAACTGCACGGATAGTAGAACTTTTATACCGTTATCCTACCTCACGCTCAGTGCACCTGACAAAGTTTTCCAGCTGAGCACATTGTAAATCATAGAAGAGATATCGCCATCGCGTCATCATTTGTGTCGTTGGCCCTCCAACCTCAGCCGCCCACCAGGGTCAACCGTCCGTTCGAACTGTTCGAACGAGGGGGTCGCATTTTGGTCAGGAGGGGGTCGCATTTTCGAGGACCCGCAACAAAAAATCTCGCCGGTAGCATCATTGGTCGTGCATGCATCATGCAATGCAATGCAAATGAAATGCCATGCATGTACGGTTTGGCTTCGACTGGGTTGAAAAAAGTCACAGTTTCAGGCATTTCAGGTTAGAACAGGACAAGGATCACAACAGCTGCGAGCTGCGCGTCATGGCAAGATGAAATAGACTTTCAAATGCCAGCCACAGGCGCGTGCGTGGCGTATCCGAGGACAAGAATTGCTTGTGCAGAGCGCATTAGATTCGATTAATTATGCAAAGAGAGACAGTTTCAGGCAACCACGGTGCTTTCCTTGAGGAATAAGAACAGTTGAATGCATCTCCATGTAAGGTTTGACTTCTTGGCTGAAAATTGAACTTCTTCGGGAACCTACTTTTCTGAGGACGGTTCTTCCACAAAATCGTGAAACACATAAGAAAGAAGAAACCTCGCGGTCTTCAAAAATGTCTTCGCCTCTTTCCAACATGCTCTTTGAAGGAAGTTATTATTGCTGAAAGCTCGAAACCTCGCATGTGCTGCTCAAAAACCTATGGGATCCAAATGTTCGAACGTGGGATTTTCTCGAAAAATGAACTTTGAAAAATGGTTTAGGGCTTGTTAGAAAGAGCAAATTCTGCTCTTTCACCCCATGGAAAGAGGGAAACGCAGCAATCAAAATGAAGTGAGTTATGCTCGTTGAAAGCCCAAAAACTCGCGATTTCAAAGAATGTGTTCGGCAAAACCGCCCGAAATGTTCGAACGTGGGATTTTCTCGAAAAATGAACTTTGAAAAATGGTTTAGGGCTTGTTAGAAAGAGCAAATCCTGTACTTTCACCCCATGAAAAAAGTGCATCACAGAAATGAAAATGAAGTGAGTTATGGTCGCTGAAAGCCCAAAAACTCGCTTTTGCACGAAAAATGTTCGAACGGGAAATTTTTGAAAAAGGGGACAATCACTAACTTTTTATAATCTTTTGTTAGAGAAATATTTGAAGTTTCTAAAACTTTTCACAAATTTCCAAGATGTCGCATACGAAAGATTTTATGAGCTCTCAAAGTTGGAGGTGCGCCTTCTCAGAATTTTGGGTTTTCCGCTTCTGACAGAAATACTTTTGGGAGAGTTAGGTCATCCTTGCAATTTTCTGTAAAGCCACCTCAGGCACAGTTTAAACCTACCTCAATAAGTGAAACAAATACGTCTCAAGAAAGTTACACTCTCCTAAAACTTTTTCTTCGCCGCGTCCCAGTTTTCCAGCGTCCGGGTGATACCTGCCGCGCTCCAAGGTTGACGCCGCAACGCAAACGCTTTCTGCGGCGGTTTCTGACGCAATCATGTCAGTCCTACTCTTCTTTAATCCTTCCTCTTTTTTCAGCTGTTTGAGCAGAAGTTCGTCAGTCTTCATGTTACTTGTTGGATATCCCTCCATTTGGTCTTACACATTTCGCTTTCATCCTCATTTTGGCGTGATTGTGAGCGAACAAAAAATTTTGATCTCGCGAGGCTGAATGCCATGAGGCCATGAATTTTTTGAAAAAAATATTGAATTTTTTTCAGAAATTCAATGATTTTTTGAAAACAATTCAATTCAAATTTCAGTGAAGATCTCAATATTCAAATGTTCTGTTCATATTTCATGGAAGTTCATTGTCCATTTGAAAACAATGAACTTACGAACTTACGAACACAACATTTGAATATTGAATTCTTTACTGAACATTTGAATTGAATTTTTTTCAAAAAATCATTGAATTTTTGAAAAAAATTCAATGATTTTTTGAAAAGAATTCAATTCAAATGCCAGTGAAGAATTCAATATTCAAATGTTTTGTTCTATGTCATGGAAGTTCATTGTCTTTAAAAGGTTTTAGTTCACTGTCTTTGAAGTAAAATGAGTGAAATAAATATTTCACTTAACATTTAGTCAGCACATTCGGCACTTCCATTACCTAAGAGGGGGTCGCAACTGGACCCCCTTGAGATAAGGGGGTGACCCCCTTGAGAAAAGGGGGTCGCAAAAACCCTGAAAATGTTCGAACGTGACGGTTGACCCTGCCGCCACACACTGTTTTATTTCTGGCAACATTATTTCTGTTGTATATCAGCACAGATGAGGCACTTGTGCTTGTAGTGTATCTCAACGAAAAGCCAAGGAGAACCGAACGTTGATTCCCACAAGGGAGAATTATGTAGAAGAACATATCGTGAACGATCTTTGCCCATTCGATTCGATAAAGAACGTCTTTTGTTCTGCTCTGAAAGATTGTGCTGAGTATTCTGGTGACCTCAATTTAACTTGGACTTAGATGAAGAGTTCTTCGCAACGTATGCCAAGCTTAAGATCATGGCATATTAGTTGCGACCTTTCAGCAGCCCTGAGCTTTAGTGGGTGTTAAGGTGAAGTGCTGAGTTCTAACAGTCCGGTGTTTTCATTGAACCGTCCTCTATTCGAATTGGGCGTCATAAAGCGTTTAGATAGTTGGAAAAGCTCGCATGCGTAAATTGGTGATTTCAAATAAAGGCAGTGTTATATGAAATCCAGTGTGGAACACTTCTGATGCGTGAAGGTGACAGAGGTACATTGTGCATCTATTATAATGACATGATACTTGCTAGTACGTATGAGACCTTACGCTGCTTCACAGCAGCTCTTACAAGGAAGCTTATTTCAAAAAGGTTTTCGCATCATAAAAGGAGACGTGCATGGAACATGGGACTACTCTCTACTCATATCACCCTCATATCAGTTGAAAGAAGTACACTTGCTTGCAGAGGGTGGACCCATATGGTCAAGCCTCCATCGCAGAGCTGAAGACATGGGTGCGAACATCATGAAGAAGGCTTCTCCTTGGACACCGTTTTTTGCTTGTCTCGAGTGATGCTAACTGCAGAGCTGTTCTCTAAATAATAGCTGCCTTCGAAGTACCAGTTTAGCTCCGCCCGCTACCGCGCAATTGATAGAACTGACAATCGATGAAGCTTAAGGTTTCACCACTAAATTATAGCTGCTGCGTTCGTTATTACTATTTGATAAGCGCAGTGAAGTGCACAGTTCAAAGTGATGATGTAAACAACCACTATGCGTCGAGTATCGAGGTAATTTAGCGGTCGAATATCTCAAAACGGAATGCCCAGTATTCATTATCATTTATTCGAGCATCCCATTCATCCTCAAGAACTCTAGAAGGTGTAGCGGTCGAAAGGTGTTTGAGTTTACAATTACAACGCTGATGAAATGATATTGAAATGAAAGGCATTATCTACAATCTGCTCTCTATTTTCTATTTCAAGTGCTCTCTACGTTCGTACGCATATCGTTACTTATCAGTCCTCATCAGTCGTTATCACTTTTTGACCCCCACCAAATATGTTCCGTCCCACCCCCTATATCATGTCCCAAAATCAGCTCCTGACGACTGCTGCGAAGCGCACTATGAATTTCGTGAAATTTGTGTTTCAGCGCCTCTTATCTGCTCTTATCAGTCGTTATCACTTTGTGACCCCCACCAAATATGTTCCCGTCCCACCCCCTATATCATGTCCCCAAAATCAGCTCCTGACGAACTGCTCCATGAATTTCGTGAAATTTGTGTTCCAGCTCCTCTTATCTGCTCTTATGCAGCGTTATCACGCTTGCATGAATTTCCACATTATGTTCCCGTCCCACCCCCTATATGATATCCCAAAATCAGCTCCTGACGACCGCTGCGACGCGTGCTATGAATTTCGTGACACACGCACACACACACACACACAAACAGGACAGACATAGCGTTTTAGTATATAATAGTATGATAGGGGGGTGATCTATGGTCTATTCAACCCCCATTACCTGGTTTTTTGGATGTTTTTGGACGAAAAACGCCTATTTTTTCACGAAAAATTTTACTTTAAGCGCACGCCCCGCCCACAGGAGGCGGAGTTTAGCATGGCCAATATATTCCAGTTGTAGAGCGGTAAATACCCTATTAAGGCCCTATTTTTCCCTGTCTTTAAACTGTTCCGAAGCCAAAAACCGCAAACTGCAATAAGCGTGCTACCTGCCCTTACACCACCTCCGCCCAAATACGACCAATACTGCAGGCTAATTTGTTTAAAAGGCTGTTGCCACTCTTTCCCTTCGCAGTGTACTCCAAAGTAATCTTTGGACTACATTGTGAAGGTCAGGAGGAAGAAGTTCTGGCACAACTCATCTTAGAAAGCACCTTTCTCCACTAAAATTAAAGATCAGAAGTGGACAAGCCACTTCCGCAAGTCACGTTAGGAAATTTCAAACTCACAAAACTGTCTGAAATAACCTAATTTTATCTACAATACCAACTTCGATTAAATTATCTAGCCGCACTGTGCAGTTATGACGCGCTCAGCTACGTCGTTTCGCCTAACAATGATCAGAAAGCCTTGGCACCGTCTTCAATGCTTCCCTTACAGTGTCGCCGCTTCTTTTCTTTTCTTTTCTACAGTTCTAGTTTTTGACAAGGAAACGTTTAGTTACTAGCGAATCTTGTTCCAAAAGGGAAGACTATGTATTTGGAAGCCCCATTTTAAGTATCAATATAATAATTGTGTAGGTGCAAAATAATATATCTAGAGACATGAGAAGTCTTCGAATATCTATGACATCGAGGCGAGGGATTTGAAGTCTCTGCGATGGCACCACTCATGAGCCGATCCTCAAGAATCACATGCATCTAACCTGT